TTCTTGGGAGCACTTCCAGGAGGTGATGTCCGCCCCGGCAAAGCCTCTCTGACCTGCAGGTCAGTACCCAGGGACAGGGAAGCTCCTGTAATGTGTTCGCCGGCTGCAGGACAGACCGTGGGCGGCTGGCCTCTCGCTGCAATTGTAGCAAGGCCCGAGGGCTTCCCAAACTCATGCCAGGGGTTCTGTGGTCGGCCCCCCTCCGAAGTTCCCCAAACAGGTGGCGGGCACAGAGTGCAGACTCTGTTTGTGGCCTGTGTTATCTGCCCCCCCCCCCCCCCGCCCCTCCCTGGCCCGTCCGTTGTTTGGGGCATATTGTGGATCTGAGGTCCACTCTGGGAAAAGCCGAGGCCCGGATATCAGAGCTGGTCTGCTTTCCTTTGAAGAGCAACCGTCTTCAGCGCTCTTGCTCTCCTGCTACCCGCCCCCCCCCACCGCTGCCTTATTTTTGGTGTTTTTGCTTACTTTGTTTGTGAGGCTAATCAAACAGTCAACCAGATTTTTAAATCACTCTTGGAAGGGCTCTGGGGTGGTGGGACACACACACACACACACACACACACACACGGGGCTAGAGGTGGTGTCGGGGGGCCCCGGGAGCACAGCCCTGGGCATTCGCGCCCTGCACACGTGCACCGGGGGAGGGAGGCTTCGTGGATGCGGGACCCAGGCTCACCCTCTCCAGGGTCTGGGAATGGAGAGTGGGGGGCAGGAAGGGCAGGGTCTCCCCCACCTTCAGACGGCCCACGCACGGCTCAGTCAGCCACGAGGGCACCGCGGCTGCCCCGGGGAGCCCCGGGGGAGTCACGCCCCGGCACGGGGCCCACTCTTGCCAGCGTGAGGTTCCCCCCGGCCCTCGCCCTTCGCTTCGGGGCAGGGTCTCTGCGTTTGGCTCATGGCGGGCAGGCCATGCGAGGATTGGCCTCGACGCCTCGGGGGGAGGAGGGGGGTCGCGGCGGGGAGGGCGAAGTTCGGGCCCCCGCATGCCCAGCATTCAGGCTGTGCTCGTGGAGGGTCTGGCGCGAGCACAGCCAGCTGGAAGCGTCCGCCTCGGTGCCAGCGCCCCGGCCTCTGCATGGTACTCGGGGAGAGGTTACCCGAGCAACTTTGCATCCGGACGACGAATGTTGCTCGGTGAACCCCTTTTCGGTATCACATTCCGCCAGAGAGGCCGTCTCGGAGGCCGCGGCTCCTCGGGGAAGAACGTCGGTGTCGGCACCCCTCCGGGGTACGGGACGGATGGTCGACCAGTTGGAAAGTAATTGTTTCGAATGTACTTCACCTGGTCCACTAGCCGTCCGTATCCGCTGCCGCCTGCGGGGCCCGCGGGCCCGGGGAAAGCCGCTCCTCAGCTCAGCGCCTCTCCTGGTACTTGAAGGGAGATCGACCGTGTTATATTCGCTTTATTGGCTTCGAATAATACATGGTTGATCTTTTCTCAGTATCAAATCTCACCTTGGAGGATCTCTTGGAGATGAAGCCCTGTGGGGGCGGGCCGGGGTAGGGCGCCGGTGTCCCCGCCCCCGCAGGGGTGCCTGGACGGAGGGACGGGGGGTGGGGTGGGGGGGGGGGACGGGCCGGGCGGGGCGTGCGCCGCGGGTCCCCGTCCCCTCACCTTTCGTATCTGATCCGCCCTCAGGACGGCTTCTGCGAGGCGGCCATCGGACGGCGTGTCTGGGTACTTGAGGAGAGGTTGTCTGTGATGAGTTCGCTTTATTAATGACGAATATAACACAGATGGCCTGTTCTCAGTACCACCTGCGACTCTCGCGCTGGGTCCAGCCTGGGGCCGACCCCTCCAGGGTACGTGAGTGCATGGGCTCTGCGTATGACATTTGTCACCCTCTCTGCTGACCCTCAACGTCGAGTCCCTGCCGGGAGAGCTTCCTGGAGCGCACGGGGGCCCTGGGCTCTTGCACCGGGAGACTGGGCCCCAGGCCGTGGCTCGCTGGGAGGCCAACGGCACCTTCCGCCCTCCCCTTCCCCCGACCCCGCCCGAGGCCACGGAGGGTCCCCCCGGCTGCGATGGGCAGCAGGCCCTCCCCGGGGCGTTCCCCAACGGCTGTCCCCATGCATGGCCTGCACCTGCGAGGCGCGTCCCGGCCGCCCCAGCCGCTTTGCCTCCCACCCCCCTGCCTCGGGGGGCCGCGCCGGCCGACGCCCCCTCGGAGGGGAGCCCCCCGGGGCCGCTTGCTCTGCGTGCTGCTCCCGTGGTGCGTGAGGAGAGGTTGCCCGTGGCGCGTTCGCATTCATCATGACGCACAATACACGGTCGACCTCTCTTCAGCATCAGCTCCCGCCTTGCATGCCTCCTGCTCGCGCCGCAGTCTGGGGAGGGCCGGGCCGGGTGCATGGCCGAGGGCCGAGCATGTGCGGACTCCCAGCCCGCGGCCCCCGGGGCGAGTGGTGGGCGTCTCTGAGGAAGAAGCCTCCCGTCCGGAGTCAGCCCCGCTCAGTGGTACCTGAAATAGGTTGCCTGTGAGGTGTTCACTTTCTATACGATGAATATTATACAGTCAACCTCTTTCCGGTGTCGAATCCCGCCTTGGACGCGTCCACTTCGGGTGCCGGAGGTGCAGGTGGTGGCGGTGCCCGCGCCGGTTGGCCCGTGGACTCGGTGTGGGGGTCTGTGGCACCTGGCCTGTTCGCTTTCCAGCCCCACGCATTCTGGAGAGCTTCTGAGAGCCACAAGGGGCGCGGTCCGGCGGCTCCGGAGGCGCCCAGGCTGGCGGTTCCCGACGTCCCTGCGCTGGGCAGTCACCGGGCTCTGGGCTAGGCCTCCACCTGCTGATCCTCCTTTCCCCGAGGGCTCCCGGCCCCGCCCAGACCACGGCAGAGTCACAGGGTGGGGGTGGCGGGAAGGGTCAGGGCTTCTGCAAAGCGAGCTCAGAGGGATGACCTAAGGGTTTGTGGAGTGTGCTAATTGTCTTCCGGGCTGCAGGAAGCTCTTTCCGTGCTGGATCGCGTCACCCCAGCGGCCTCTCCCTGGAACGTCCTACTCTGTGCACGCCTTTCCCTTGGTGGCCTCCTCCGACCTGTGGTCTCTCTGTGCCCGGAGCCAGGTCTCCCGCGGCGACCTTGCCAGTGGAGTGCTGTGGCTCCAGGCCGCCCGCTCTTCCCTGGGCACTGGGCCCCAGGTGTGGCAGCCACATCTCCCCTGTGTGCCCAGCCCTCCTCTCCAGCCCCTGCTGTGGCCCTGCCCTGGGGAGCCTCCTTCTCTGGCTCAGACCACTGCATAGGACCCACTCGGGTCTCCCCCTCCTTCTTCTGCCAAGAGAACCTTCTAGAGAGCAGTCTGGCTCTCTCTGCACTACCCAAAGCTCCTCCGAGGCACCCCTTCCTCATGCCCTGCTCCACGGGAACCGCTCCCAAGACTCTGGTCGGCCAGCCTCGTTCCCTGCCACGCCCTTCTTTTGATGTTTGTATGTATCACCCCCGCCCCTCCCCACTTAGGTCCACCCACCCGCCTACTGGGACCTGGGTCCTGGGGGGCCTCCTCTGCAGCCTGCCTCAGCCTCCTCCCCTCCAGCCTTCCCTGCCTGGGCCTCCCCCACGCCCTGCATATCGGTGTCTCAGGACACCTAGCCCCACTCTTGCTCAAAAGGGACTGTCCCTTTCTAGAGCTAGAGGTTCAGGATCCCGGAGGGGATGGAATGTCCCTTGTTTATGGAGGCTGTCCGTTTTCCTAGTCACCTTCTGTCAGTCACCCTGTTATGGCTTTCTTCCTGGCTGACTGCTGTCTGAAATGACCTGACGTTAATGTTGGCTTTCTCTCTCCCCCCAGACTAAGATTTCTCGGGGCAAGGATTTTTTTTTTTTTTTTTTTTTTTTTTTTCCTCTCCTGTTCCCTGCTGTGTCCTCAGCTGTGGGACCCGGGCCAGGCCCAAATTAGAGGGATGGCGAGTGTTTGTTGATTGACTAACAGATTCCTTAAGGGCAGGGACCTTATCAAGTTAAGTGCCCCCAGAAAAGTGCTGGGCACAGAGGAGGCACTCAAGAAAACATGTTGATAGAGCCCATGAATATGGTAATTGGTTTTTAGAAATTCTTCACATTGGTTAGAAACTGTTTGGTGTTTTGGCTTTCCTTCCGGATGTCATTTGGGAGAGTTGAGGTTTGCTGCACTTAAAGGTCAGGTCGGCTGGGTCCGGGCTCTTCTCTCCATTTTGCAAGGGGCTCCCCAGACCCCCAAAAGGAGCGATGAGCCCCGCTGTAATCCTACAAACGCCAACTGAGCGCCCCCCCCCCCCCCCCCCCCCCCCCCCCCCCCCCCAGCACGCTCTGTGGTGTTCAGAGCCAGGTGCTCTGGGGAGCTCTGTCCACAGCAGGCTGGAGTGTGGTGTGCGAGGGCTAATATATTATGCATGGAAGTGACTAAATGGGGACACTTGGAGATGAAAATTGCTATTAATGCGTCCACACATCTTTGGAATATGTTAAACGTCTGTAGGGTTGGGAGGCGACATTAGCCTTATTTAATAGAGCCGGTGTAACCATCCCCACACCCCGGCTTTAATAGCCCGGGCGCCTCTAGGCCCCCCAGGCTGTTGCTCGGGGACACCACTGGGTATATCAGCGAGCGCTGGAGAATTCTGTATGAGGCAAAATGTCAGCCTGGGCTACCAGGCATTCAGGCAGCATATGTCCCAGACTCATTTTAGACCCAAAGACAGTGACCCCATGCCGCTCGGTGCAGAATCCCATTGAAAAGCCAAATTACTGGTTTATCTGCTGTTTGAGCAGAAGAGAGAATAGACAAAGGGCCAGATGAACATGTCTGTCCCCGCAGCAGCCAGATGACCGTCGCCGTGGACCCTGAGGCCAGAGGGCCCATCTCCGAGGTGCCGCGTAAGCCAGCCGTGGGCCTGAGCTCCCGAGGCGCGGGCCGTCTCCCAGGCCTGCGTGGGCAAGGCCCCCCGCTGCCCCCGCTGTGTCTCCTGGATACAATTCTGTGAGAGCCTCTTTGAAAACTGAAAAGCTGTTAGAGCAATTGGACCTGTGTTCTCACTGCCACCCGGCAGCCTTGGGCGCGGCAGGCTCTGCTTTACAGGGAGAACGTGGGGCACGGGGAGGGGGAGAGACCCCTCCGAGGCCACCCAGCTGGCAGGCAGGGCGGGGCTGGCCCCAGGCAGCTGGCCCTTAAGGACTTTGCCTGCTGAGAGCCACCAGGCTTTAGGAACGTTCCGGAGCCCTGGAAGAAGGCAGGCCCGTGGAAGCTTTGCACAAGGCGGCGGGCTCGCTCTTCCCAGTGCTCCGCTGGCCATACTTGCGGCGGGTCTCTCCCTGCGCCCGCCGGGCATCTCTCCGATTTGGTGAGCCAGCCGCATCGGGCTGGGTACGGTCCCCGGGGCTCCTGGCTCCTGTCTGGCCTGGGGAGAGGGCCGCTCGCGCGGGCAGAAGACCCAGGGCACAGAGGAGACGTAAACGCCAAAGACCCACTTTGACTCGTGTCTTTCACTGCCGCATCTGAGCGCCTTTGAGGGTTGCGTGCAGATCTAGCCAGGGCAGCTGGTGAGCCAGAATGGAGAACTCGGGCCAGCCGGCTGCCGTCTCCAGGGCAGGGCCAGGCACCAGCCCCACTCCCCCAGACTCCCCCTCGCTTTGCTCTGCCCCCGCCCTTGTTCCGGGACCACCCTGCACAGACTCAGTGGCTGGTGCAGTCCCGGAAGAACCCATGGATGTCAGGGCTGAGCGGGAGCCCTGAGTTCCTGTCCTCTTGTCCCCTCAACCCCCCGCCGCTCACATCCTCATACAGATGAGGTCCGAGAGGGTGGCCTGCTTGGCCAAGACTTTTCTTCTGAGCGTTGTCTCCGACTTTGGGGGCGGGACCCACCTCTGGCAAATAGGTAGTTTTCTTCTTTGCAAAGACGGGGTGACCCAGCACCCCACAGCTGCGGGATAGTGATGCCGCTGCCCTGCCACGGAGGTTCTAGAAGCCAGAACCTTGACCCTGTGGCGTTGGCTCATAGTTGGTGCTCAGCTAAGGCCAAGATCAGACACCAGCACCGGATAGGTGTTCAGTACGAGAGGGTGCATTGAAATCAGATCCCTTCATTGCCAGGAAGAAGCTCACGAGAAGGGCTGGAAGGATGTTTGTGGAACGAAGAAATAAACGCGTGCTCTTTGAGGGGATAAAGAAGCAGAGAGAAAAAGAAGAATCCGGGGAAGATGGACATAAATCTCCACCAAGCACCGCCAAGGCTTTGCAGCCCAGGCGGCTGAAAAGACCCCGCGGAGGCAGAAGGGGCCATTTGTCACAGGCGGGGACTGGCTTGAGGGCCAGGAAGCAAGGGTGTGACGGAGGCTCATCCATCATCTTCCCATTATTCCCCCGACGTGGAAAGGAGCCTGCGCGAGCCCGCGTGGCAGAATGGGCGTGGGGGTGGGGGTAGGGGTGGGGAGGGACCCCAAGGAACGGCAGGCCCGGCAGGTGAGCCCACGGCTCCGGGTCAGGTCCCAAAGCCCTGGCGTGGGCAGCAGAGAGGACAGGAGCCACTCAAGGCCACCTGACAAGTCACGGGGCAGGACTTTGTGGCCAGTATGGCTCTAGGACCCAAATGGGTGCGTGATCGAACATCTGAAAACCCGTCTCGTGCCCTTGGTGTGAGGCGGTGGCTTTCGTACCTGTGAGTCCCAGTGCCAGGCCTGGGTTCGTGCCATGCCCCTGCCCGGAACGTCCCTCTGCCACCTCCTGCAGGAAGCTGTCCCTGATCTGCCCCTGCACCCGACACACACACACCTCAGCCTCAATCTGCAGGGATCAGCCCCCTGATTCTTCAATCAACAGGTATCTCTCTGCCCAGCTGGCAAGCTCTGCAGGGTGAGGGGCTGTTTCTGGTTTGGTCGTTGTGGGGCCCCTGGGCCCAGGGAAGGGGTCACGTGATGCTGGCTGATCTTGTCTTCCCTTGCCAAGCACGCCAGGCTGGGTGGGTGTTTGGCGGGGGCCCAACACGTGGGGCCTTTGGTCGATCGCAACCATGAGACAAGAACTGGGCCAGGGGTGGCTACGCCAGACCACTCTGGCCTGCAGAGATGTGGGCTGTGAGCTGGAGAGCCCGCTCTGATTCTAGAAGCTTTGCTTGGGTTAGGTGAGTGCATGTTGGAAGGACCACAGGGCGCCTCCCACTTGGGCCTGGAGCAAAGGTGGGATTTGCCTAGGGCACACGGGGTCCAGGGGAGACCCGAGCTCATTAACAGAGTGGGTCTCGGGACGGAGATCATTGCTCCTTACCTGGTGCGGTGTAGCTCCCCCAGGCCCCAAACAGTGCTCGTCGAGTGAATGAACGAAACCGGGCCTCCTGACTCCTGCCCAGAGCTCTCTGCACACCCCCCCCTCCCCCCCCAGCCCCAGACAGCTTTGCTCCACAGCTCACTCTGGTTGTGGAGAACGGAGTGGACCCCACACGGGCTGCAGCGTGAGGGAGGCTTGAGCAGGCTAGACCCCCGGCCTGGGGACAGTGGGGCCCTGCCTCCAGGGTCCCCTGGGAGTGAAGGCCCCGGTCCTCCTTGGGGCCGGCCGCTGTGCACGGAGCCCGGGGTGTGGGCAACCTTCCAGAATGCTGTTTCCCACCATCTGTGATATCTTCGTTTTCTCTAACACTCAAAAATAGATGTTTCTGTTATGCTTCTCGTTGGCAGGGTTGCTGCAGGGCCTGCCAAGGCCCGGGGGAGCCCGCCAGCCTGCGGAGTCTTACTGTACAAACAGTTGGGGAGGGGGGTGTCTCTGTTAACTTGAAATCCCCGATCAGTAAACATGCCAATTTAAAGTGTAATTAACTCAGGCCGGAAAAAATTCAGATCTGGACTGCTTTTCACAGTTGAAGTTGTTTTTCTTTTATTTATTTATCTCTTTCCGGGTGTGATGGTGTCTGTGGCAGGTTTAAGCCAGGAAAAATAGAAGGGGGGCTGAAGTGGGGAGGGGGCCGGCTGGGAGAGGAAGCGATGGAAGGCAAAGAAGGAGGAGAGGGGAGGTGGGCCTGGCCCCCCCCCCCCCCCCCATGGCCCAGGGTCTGTATGCCCTTTCTGTCCAGGATGCCGGGTGAAGAAACGGAGGAGAGGGAAGCAGGGGGCGTCCTGCTGGGCCAGGTGATTCAGAGTCACGGGGGCCGTGCCAGGGAAGCACCCAGCTCGTTTGTTGGGTGGGCTCTGGGTCCTGCTCCTGACTCTCTGTCTTGCCTCCTCTTTCAGGGGTCTCTCTGTTTTCCGCGAGCCCACCCCGGACCATCAGCACCAGACTCCTCCTGCTTCCCAGGACTCCGGGGAAGGTCCTGCTCTTGGAGAAGGTCAATGGCATCCACACCCCAGCAGAACAGACACGCGGCCCTGCCCCTGCCCCTCCCCAGGAAGAAGTGGGGGCCGTACGCTCCCCACCCTTCATAAAGCACCCTGAGTGGGTCCCAGGAGTGGATCCGTCAGGGGTCAGGCCCGCGCTGTGGACTGGGGAGGACCACGAGGGCACGCAGAGAACTCCTGAGTGACCATGAACTGCAGCGGAAGAGCCATTGACATGTGCCCTCCCCCCAAAAAAGGCTCAGAAATTCCTGCTCTTCCTTTGCAAACACTTGGCATGTTTTGGGGCTATTTGAATAATAAATACACATTATAAAACTCCAAATATGTTTGTGTGTCTATATGTTCAGAGATGATGTTCATTAAGTGGAAGGTTTAAAAACAAAGGCCATCTGCCCTCGGGAGGGATTCTCCTCTAGAGTCACTGGCCTTTGCCCAAAGGGGACCCTGCAGGGAGCGTCTCCCCATAGCCCAGGGGTCCACTTCGGGGTGGCGGGGTGGGCGGGGGGCTCCCCTGCCCGTGGGAGGCAGGGCCCAGAAGGCCCGCTTTCCCGTCTGAGGTCTGAGCCGGCTCCCGCCCCCGCGGCCGCCCCCCTCCCACCGGGGCAGAGGCCGAGCCCCCGCCTCCTCTCTGCAGCCTCCGCTGGTCACGACTCAGCCGGGCTGACTCAGACGCGGCCCTGAGCGGAGCCTCGTAAATTACATAATTACCTACGGAACCTGCCGCCGCCGCTGAGCGACGGGAAGGACGCTCGGCCGGTGACTCACTGTTTTCCCCGGAGCCTCTCGCCCGCGCTCGGCAGCCGCCTCGGTCTGGGCTGGTTGGGCAGGGGGAAGGGCCGCCGGCTTGGCCTCCGTCCCCGGCTCTGCAGTGAAGGGGGCGCAGCCTGCCGGGCGGCGCGGGGCTTTGGGTGGGGGGGCACTTTCCCCTCCAGCCCCCCTTAGCCTTCCTGATGGGCTGTGCCCGCCTGGGGGAAGAGGAAGCAGGTCCAGAGAGGCTTGATCCTTGGCCCCGTCCACACCCAGCCGGAAGTGGCTCCGGCCGTGCCGGTGACCCCCCCCCCAGTGTAGCCCCCTGCCCCCCGGCCAGAGCCCAGCTGCTGGGTACCCCCTCCCTCCTCCCGACCGCTCCCCCTGGCATCTGCCACCTCTTCTCCAGAGCCCCCTGACGTGGGCAGACTCTCCCTTCGGAAAAACCCTTCTCCTGACGGTGACTGTGTTTGGCAAGGAGGCACCGCGTTGCCTTTGCAACTCAAGGTGTACCTGCGGGTGGGGGATGCCGGAGGGGGGCGCCTGTTTCTTTTTGAAATAAAAAACCCAATAGGGGCACCTGGCTGGCTCAGTCAGAGGAGCGTGTGACTCTCGATCTCGGGGTTGTGAGTTCAGGCCCCACGTTGGCCGTAGAGGTCACACACAAAAAAATAAACTTAAAAAAAACAAAAACCTAACAGAATAGGCCTGATGGGCCCGTGCGCTCTGATAGGACCTAGGTTTGAATCCAGCCTTATCACTTCCTGGTGCTGAGCCTCCGTTTCCTCATCTACGAAATGGGCACACCACCTATCACCCTCCCGGTGAGCAGGATGGATTTTAAGTATACGTAAAGTCCCCCATGCAGTGCCCGAGGGGGTTAGGCTCTCACTAGCCTGGGGACTTCCTCCTGGCGATCCAGGGCTGGTGAGGGTCCCCATAGACCCTGAAGTCACCACACACCTGCAGCCCAACTCACCCTGGCCTAGGACTGAGGGTCCCTGATGGTCCAGACCACCCCGGGCCCAAGCCCCAACCTCCTGATGTGCCCCCTAGGTCCCAAAGGTACCCCAAAACAGAGCCACGAGGAACAGAGCCCATTATACTCAGAGCTGCATCTAGGTCCCAGGCAAAGCTCCTCAGCAGGTCACGGAAGGTGCTGAGGGTCCCCAGACCTGGGGCAGGAGTTCCCAGAGGCCCCCCCCCCCCCAGCCCCCCCCCCTGTCCTCTTCCACTCCAAGTCCGGGGAGAAAGCTGCATGTGTGAGCAGCTCTGTTGCTGTCGGGGTCTGTGGCCTGCTGAGGTCACCTTCTGGGGAGGTTGTAGAGGTGTTGACAGGGCAGTCCCCAAGGCCCACCCCCTGCCCCCCCCCCATAGGTCATGTCAGCTCACCCTGTAAGCCCACCACTCCTTTTCAGTTGTACATCTCCTGCAGGGACCCCAAACACATGTGCTGAGGGGCTGGCTTCCTGGAAGAGAGCCTCTGGGGAGGCTCCTTTTCCTACTGTGGCCCCAGCCTGTCCCCCTTCCTCCCCACAGGCTCCCTGGGGCTGGTCTAATGTTCTAATAATCACACACCCCCCACTCTCTACCCCCAAGTGTGCACCACTGTGCACCAGGCAGGAACTGGGTGCCGCATTCAAACCAGGGGAGAAGGTCCTAGTAAAAAGCACACACCTGGTTGCAGATCCGTCAGGCTCCTGGTTCCAAGTTACCCCTGGGAAGTCACTTGTCTACACTGGGGATCAGTCTTCTCATCTGCAAAATGGGTGGGACTGAATCAGATTGTGTGGTGCTGAAGTCCCAAGAGTCCCTTCCTGGGCCACTACCCCTTGTGATCCAGCCTTCCAGGTTCCTGGGCCACCCTCCCCTCCACCACTATCAAAACACCCTGCAGCACTCTCAGCAGCCCCCCGCTATCCAGAGAAGCCGCCACCCCTGCAGCTCTTCCCGCATTCCCGGGGGGGGGGCGGGACGGTGTGGGGCTTGCACCCCCTCTCTCCCTGGGGTTGCTCACCCCTGCTTCTGCTTTCTGCCCCTTGCCCTTCTCTTCGCAACGCATCATCCGGCCAGAGCTGTCCATGGAAGTTTCTAGGAGTTAACCGGGGGAATTATAGCTCCCCAGAGGAAACGACTGGAATCTGAGCGGCAGACCACACTGTTCCTGGAGCTTCTGTGTGTCCCCGAGGTCCAGCCCTGTGCCCTGGGGGCTGGGAGTCCCCTGCTCCCAGATGCAGACAGCCTTTACTGTCCCTTTCCACAGCCCTAAACATACTGTCCCTCCAGGGGGATCCCTGTCCTATCAGGGATGCTGGGGCCTCAGAGGAGCTCTGCTGGTCCCCTGGGATGCAGACCTTTGAGAAATAGCCATCTTCTCCTAGCCTCAGTGCAAAGGCATGCATCAGTGTTCCGGGGGCCACAGGCCCTGTACCCCAACAGCCCAAGTGCATATTCCAGTGCAGCGATCCAGTAGATCACTACTCCAGCAGGGCCCGCCTCAGGCTTCCCATCTGTCAAAGGGGGCTGCCGTGACGATGAGATGAGTTTGTCTGTGCAAGGACGTGAACGCTGGCCATGAGACCATTTGCCACCCTCATCGCAGGACCCTCGAGCTGGGACCTGAGACCCTGTGACAGATCTAAAGTGTCTCCCTTTATTTTTGTGGTTAAGATGGTGATATGCCCCACTATTTATCTGCTCTCTTGCCATGATCGTTGGCCCCCTTTTGGTCCTTGAAACAGAAGTCAGCTTCTGAGCGGCTCCCAGCCCTGACTTGGTTGTGTTAGGGACTCTCCTGCCCAGACTTCTGGAGGTGGGGAGGAGCGGTCCAGAGGGAAAAATCCGAGTCGGGGTCACTGAGTTAGGTGTTTGCAGTTGGGCGACAAGATCAGAACTCAGCAGGGAGCCTGGCACCCAGGGGGAGCTGGAGAACTAGTGACCGAATGGGGGACGCTGTGTTCGGGGACATCGTATGCAAATGAGCCCGGGGTCAGAGTGCACAACAGACAGACTCGGCAAGGCCGGCCGGTGGTCAGCACTGTGATCCAGGCTGGCTCTGGGTACAGTGGGGACCCCAGAGCCGAGAGGCCACACAACCCGAGGCCCCTCTCACCCGGGAGCTCCTTTCTGTGTCCCTGCTTGGGTCCCAATCCACAGCTCTCCCCTGCCAGCGCCGCACCCCCTGCACTGACTTTCAGGAGGCTGAGGGATGTGCACGTAAATGATTGCTACCCTGCTATCTGCACACCCACCATGCAAACGTGCACGTGAGCAAAAGGGGCCGTTCCCTGTGCCCGAGCCAAGGTCAGGGCCCCTGGATGGAGCATGAAGTGGTCCAGGAAGTTGGGCAGCAGGAAAGCCCGTTGGCAGAGATGACAAGGAACCGTGGACACCGGCGATGGCGATGGCTCTATCAGGAGCTGGGCTAGAAGAAAGGCCCGGTGTCAAAGTGGACCCCAAGCTCTCTCCGAAGTGTGGCTTCTCACTGGTTCCTCCTGACACTAAAGCGACACTCTGCGCAGGTGTCCCTGGGTCACCTTGTGTGATGTCACCGAGCCCCACGACTCTCTTGTCTTCTCCTGGTCACTAACGAAGGTGACCCCACTCTGGCCTCCTTTCTCGAAGCTGGGTGGTTCCTCCTCTCACATCCAGTTTCCCTAATGGCCACGCTCATTTGCTCCCCGGGCGGCTCAGGGGGTTCCGTTCCTGCTCTGAGACCCCGTCCGGCCCAGCGGGGAGTGGATGGCTGGCGCTCCGTCACCGGGAGATGTCTGGCTCCTCTCTCCCGCCCCAGCCCCACACCTGATCGGCCCCCCGGGAGGAGGCCGGATACTGAGCTCGGAGCAGGACCTCTGCGCACCGGCCTCTCCCCTGCAGGGGAAGCCTCGACTGGAGGGAGCCCCGGGACGGGCGGGCCCTCGGAGGGGCAGGGGCGAGAGGGCCCCTTCCCTGCAGAGGCCTGGCTGGGCCAGGCGGGCTGTTGCTCATCTCCTGTCTGTTGCCATCTTCTTCCACCTGGAAGCTCCCTGTCGCGCTGACATTTTCCTGAGGCCCGTCCAGGAGGAAGGGGGCTGGCGGCCACACAGCACACGAGAGGGTGTGGGGGTGAGCCCGGCCTTACTAAGGCTGCCTCTTCCCTGGGCTTGGGGCAGAGGGATGGTGCAGACCCTCTCTCTCTGGGAGGGGGGGGGTCACTTCACGGGTCCCCCGGAGAGCCCCAGAGCCACGGGTTCGCGGCCTCCCTGCCCCACATGTGGACCGCACAGGGGTCCCCGAGCTAGATCCCCCGTCCCCCCGCAGAGGAAGACCGGCCAGCTGCCCCACGTCCCTCCAAGGTCCCCTTCCCCAAGGCCCTCTGAGCACTGTGATTCACCAGAAGGAGGCACGTCTAGGGGCTCGCTGGCCTTCCCTAGCTCCCTGCCACTTTGTAACCCGGAATAAGGCCAGAACCACTCACGTGTCTTAACGTTTCAGGCGCTCAGCGTCCACTTAGCTAGCGGCTTCCCAGCACCCCAAAGCTCTGGGCAGGGACCTCGCGGTGCCCGGTGCAAGCCAGGAGACAAAGGAGTGAGACCC